CTAATTCTTATAACTATATCCTCTGTATTTCTGTGGAAGCATGATCGCATTCCGAATTTGTACTGTAAACATTTTTTTAACCAACGAGAAAATATTAAACTTTTGAGATAATTAATTACCCATTAAGAGAAAATAATAAGTGACATAATAGATAATTTGATTTTTGTTAACTTACCCAAGTCCATGTAAAGAAAGCTAACTGAAAAGAATTCTGCAAACCCATAAGAAGAAAGAATAAATTTGAGAAATATTTGTTGGGAATTTCATTGAATTAATTAGAAAATAAAATAATTAAGTAAGTGATTAATTAATTAATTAATTAATTACCTGAAACAATATTAAGTGCAGGAGATGAAGAAGCAATTTAGGAGAGAAGAACCAGAAGAAATGGTCACTGGGTGTGACGAGCACATTCCCTCTAATTACTAAATGAGAATTTTCATCCCTCTCAATGCACATTCTTGTTATTATGCTTTGTAGCTTTGTTCCCACTATAAGAAGTTTCTGCAATATTATAATTTCTTTTATATATATATATATATATAATGTGATGATTACTTTTAATTGTATAAAAAAAATTGAATTTGTTTATTTAATAAATTACCAACAAGGGAATAAAGGGCAGCCATAGATAATTATGAAACCCTGCACAAAATAATCAAAAAAAATTTGAGTTAATTTTTTGCATGATTTTGATTTTAAGAATTAATTAATAGTTAATTTTACCATGTGCATTGAAGAACATGAAAAGTATAGCAAACATCCAAGTCCATGGGCTGCAAAAATAGAAAAATTAATGTTTAAAAGTTAAACATAGTCTATATAAATATAAATTATTAAATTAATCATTCAACATATTTATTACAATTTATACAGTTAAAACAACTGGTCAAATCAGTTTTATACATTTAAAAAAAAAATAGATTAACAGAGTTATTTTGACTAATTTATTGTTATTAATTTAATTAATGTTTTATTATATTTTCTTTAAAGTGTCTAAACATTGTTTAATTATTAATTTCAATTATTTCCATTACTAAATGAAAGAAAATTATAAAATGTCATGAAATAAATTATAATAAATAAAATATTAATAACAAAGTTGTAATATACTTGTAAAATTTTAGAAATTAATTGTGTATATATATATATATATATATATATATATATGTATTACCTTGTACCCACCACCACTCCAAAATCTTCCTCTAGTGCTCTTTTTATAAATTTCTGGAAATCAAAATTACTTCCCTCACCAAAGTGAGCCTGCAACAAAATATTAATCTCAGACCAAAATAACATAATATTAATAATAACAAAAATAATATGTGATTTTTTTTTTTTTTTTAATTAATCAGTTCAATAAAGAATATGATATACCATAAGGAATCCATGCCTAAGAGTGAAGTAATCAACTTTGGATACAGAGTTATAGAACTGCCTAAGAAAAGTTGCCTGCAAATCAAACACAAATTAAGTAAATTAAATTATTATTTTCTTTCATTAAATTAAGAAAGAAATTAATGTTCCAAACTAACCGGGAATCGAAGAAGTCGATGTTCGCTCCAAAATCTAAGATGTCGTTTCCCAAACGATGTCTCATGGATCAACCGAAATCTTCTTGGATCTTTTGTTTGATAAATTCAATCAATATTCTTAGAATAAATCTAAGTTATCTCTATTTTTTTATGTTGGATTCGACCGTTGTATAATATAAATTTTTTATATGTTATGTAGGTAGTACTTAATAAATACATTCGTAGATCTAGATCTATAAATGTATTTATTTACTTTTGAAGATTTAAATGTAAAGTATGGTTTTTTAAGGACCACTAAATACAATTTTGGTACCCACCATTTGAGAATTGATACTGCAATGTTCTTGTTTCTGCTTCCCAAGATTCCCACTTTCTCATCTGCAAACAAATGTAAGTACATGCAACAAAATTAGATTTTTGTCAAACAAAAGTCCCAACTTCCCCACTCAACTCTTGTATAATTCTTTCTTCTATTGAAAGAGAAAAGAAAACATCATTTACTTCTTCTCTTTCTCTTCTGAATTTTCTCAAACAGTTCTAAAAAGTCAAAGCACGGCTATAGAAAACCCAGCAGAAAACATATCTAGAAAAACCCACTAAGAAAATTAAGTATAAACACACAAATACATGCATATACCTTTGCCATGCCAAGACTGAATGTGAGAACACAAGAGAGAGAGTGAAAGCAAGCCAAGACAAAGATTAGGTATTGGAGTTGCCTTACACCTTTTCTTGATAGTAAGGAAGCCTTACCCTGTCCAATAACAAAACCCACTTTCACCAATTTCATAAACTAATCAACATATACACACAGACACACACAATACACCCATATCTATGCATACATAATTAATGATTAATTATACATATCCATGCACCTGCTGTTCACATTTGGCTTCTTCTTCGTCAAAATCAGTTGAGGAGATACCGGTGCATGGCAGAAATGACTGAGCATAGCTGATTGGGATGCAAATTTTGGCAATGGACTTTTCACTCACGACCAGCAATAATGACATGAAACCCAGTACCATCAACTCTATATGTGCATATACATGTATGTATACAGTGAAAAAATCAGAAATTAACTCATATTTCCAAAACAAAATTAATCACTAATCAAAGTTACAAGCTTTAATGGGTGACCTGATTTGATTTTGTTTAGGGCTTGAAACAGTGCTTTCCTCTTCTTCTTGTTGAAATACTGCAGAAAGAAAAAGTGAAAATCATTAACAGCCAATACCCAGAAAAATAAAAAGAAAGATAATATGAGAGTGAATTCAGTCGAAGAGACATTAAATTAATAAAGCAAACCTGAGATAAGAGATGAAGCAAATGCTCAATAAAAATGGAGATAAGAATCAAGAAAAGACAAACAGTTGCCACAGCCCATGTGGGTGTTTTTTCAAGTGTTGTGTCCTCTGCCATCTCAGTAATTTATGTTCTCCATATGCATACATGCATTATATATATACACGTGCGTGTCTGCGATGTGTGTGTATGAGCGTTGTGTGTGGACGAGAAGAAGGGAAAGGGGGAGGCCAAAAACCGAAAAGATTTTTTGTTGGGGAAAAGATAGGGTTTTTGTGTTGACATAAAAAGTGGTTAATTCTTGACTGAATTGAGAGGCAAACGGGTAAGTAACTATTATCTTTTTATTAGTAGTTTTCTAAAAATTGTATTACTCAATTTATATATATATATATATATATATAAACTAAATCAAACAAAAAAATATATAATGAGGAAGATGGTATTTTATATGGATCAAATTATGATGAACTATATAATCTAATCAATTTTTAGTTTTAGTGATGAACTTGTAGGGATCTAATTAAACTTTCATACTTCACAATCACAAATGAACTTTCTAAATAGAAGGGTGTATCTTTACCAAAATAATGGTTTATGGAATTCAATGGAAGACAATTCTAGATAGTTTTATACAGATAATCAGTCATTAACCAACAAAATAATAATAATAATAATAAACTAACAAAAAGCAGCCAATTGAATTTGAATAATAATTCCATTATAACTAAATTGGTTGATTTTCCACCTTTCTTTTCTCAGCAATGAGACAGAGAACAGTACGTTTAATTTCTTTTTCGTCTTCTTCCGAACTCACCCTCTTTCCTCTCTCTCTGGCATTAAGCTTTAGCATATTCATACACGGCGACAAGAGCTCTGCGGATGAGCTTTCCTGTGGAGCTGGATGGTGGCACCGCAGGTGTGAGAGCTGAGGGAGCCGACCTGGGTGAAGCGGGCGACCCAGGGGGTACTATTTTGTATCATAACAAGAATGATCAATCAAGCCAGTAAAGATCACTCCTTTCGGCTTTCTAATTAATCACAAAATATTCTTTGAAAGGAAAATCTATCTGGGTACTAAACCACAAAACACATTCTCAAATACAACATAGTTTCATATTCCACTCTGCTTAAATTTAAGAAAGAAAGAGATTACATAAAGTAGCTAAGAGGTTAACAATAGGAGTTAAAAAGTTATCAAGTCACTTAAAAATAATCACATTGTTTGCTTACATAAGTTAAATGTCATCATCAGTTGAAAACACCCACAAGATCAAAACATCCAGAGGCATCTGCGTCTGCAAGCTTGGATGCCCCGTCTTTGATTAGCATTAAATCGTAGCTACTGGAGAAAAAGCTGTCAGAATTCCCAACAATACAATCTTTGGGACCATGGCTAAAGCTTGCAAGAACAACACTTGAGAAACCAAGGATGAAAATCAGAAGACAGGCTAAACATCCACCATGCTAAAACTAAGCATGATCATAGACCGTTTGGGTCTGGTCCTCAGCCCATGTGGAAGGTCAAAAACTCATTCTGCAGATATCCAGTCTTGCAAATGAATGCTTTCCGGCCAATTAAGGCTACCATCAATTATAATTATAAAATGATTTTGATAATCAAGACAAATGCTCCGGCAGTAACTGCCAAGTAACCTCTCTTTAAAGGCTTCTTGTTATCCTACTTTCGAACTAAAAGGCTTCTTGAGATGCTAACCATCGATCATACATTGGAATCCATTGAGCCAAATCCATTCTCAAAATACTCCTATTTGTGAACCTCCAGAACCTTATGACACAACACTACAGAGCAATATCGAAAAGCATACCTCTTATAGAATAGAGCTCTCTTTGGTTATGTACAATTGCTTCCAACTGCTTTGCCTATAACTGGGCGCTTCGGGTGGAACTATTCGCCAACATGAGGCAGAAAACAAACTCCAGTGTTTATTTTAGCTGTTACGGCAGTTGTGTCTTTATTGGAACCATGTCTTTCTTCAGTCAATGAAAATCCGAAGAGTCTGCAACTACTTTTACATGATGAAACCAAATCCTGACTGCCTCTTAATGCTGACTGAGGTATAAGAGGTTGGGAAATACAAAGTTGAAAGTGCTCATTTGACAAACCAAAGGAAGTGATGCCTCCCTCATCTTCCCCCCTCAAACTGCACCCTGGGACTGATGATGATTTGAGCTTTCCCCTGTATGTTTCATGAGTATGAATAGAAGATTGATCGGTTTGCCTCTGCTCCTCTTGATCAGTAACACCATAAAGTGGATTGACATTTGGAACTGGATTCCCTGCTTGCTGGAACATTAATACAGAAGATGGTGATGACACTTGCATGCATTGGACAGAAGGGTGCATCCGAGAACCATATCCCTGCACTCGACTGGACCATCCATTTCTTGATCCAGGCACCTGGATAGCATCTGAGCTTCCAAAGCAACCATTTTCACGACCCTCATAAGAAGTCACGGTTCTTCCATATGGAGTGCTTGGAAGCATTTCTTGACCTTGCAAGACCTTACGGAATCGAAAAGATTCACCAAAGCCTGTGCCTTGATAGGGAGTATCAGAATTTGCTAGTGGGTCACCAATGCCATGTGCTATGGAAGCAACCCCACATCCATTCGAACCAGGAAAGCACCTTCTAATTTCAGAAGGATGAAGATTCTTCCCATCATTACCATTACAGGGAGAACTAAAACCAAAAATTTCTTGACCTTGCAAGACCTTCTGGAACCTTAGAGATTCCCCAAAGTCTGTTGCTCCAATTCCATCTGTTTAAAGATGCCAAGAGTTAATGATGTTCGCATGAGTACCAAAAACATTCTATCCTAATGAATCTCTCTTCCTATAGAGGACATACCAGGAACTGAAAACTCTGGTTTTCCTGATGCTAATCCAATCCTGGTTCGCTTCGAACCAGTTGCTATTGAGCCACAGGAACTGGACATGGGACCTGATGACTCAATTTCCCACGGAGAAACCCTATGATGCCTGTTGGCCTCAATATCATCCCACCTTACCTATAAAATAGACCCAAATACAGTGCGATGCCATCAAATTAGCTAAGCAACTTGAATTTGAAAATTCAGAATTTGTGGAGAACAGAAAAGCCATAACCAAGGGCACCTAAAGGCGCAAAGGACTACTGAAAGCTGCTTCCACCCGGTGATGAAGGTTTTTGTTTCAAACCCATGCAGTCTTGAAAAATTAGATTTAACCGAAAAAACAAATGTTGCAAAGAAATATTGTCGATGGATATTACGGGAAACAGACAGAAATCCACATTACTTAAGTTTAACTTTGAATTTTACACCCCCCAAAAAAGAGTTTTGTGCATGCTAGTGTTACACGTACAAAACATAGGTGATAAGATTATATCTAAATAGTTACAGATAAGAATTCCAGAAAGCATTTTACGTGAGACTTTTGAAAGTTATGAAAGAGCCTCATTTACAGTCTTAAGGCTCATATAACTCTATGAATCACAAAACTAGAAACTTAAAAGAAAAGAGAAGAAAATGCATAGGGAATGTAGTGGATTTTGAGTACCACAAACTTAAACAGTAAAGAAGTTACTCCATGTCCCAATCCGCCTTCCGGTTTTACCATATGATTGAGAATACAATGAATCCAGAAGTCGTATTCGTATTTATATTATGAAAAATAGGAAGTCATAAAACATAAAAAAAAGAAAAGCAAAAGTTGGAACTTTATAATTATAACTACTCAAAACTGTATCTAAAAAAAACACAGTTCATCATGCAATGCCAGACTGAACATAAAAATTAAGCCAAAAAAGTTATCTTAAGATCATGATCATGATCATCGCTTGCATTTACACAAGTAAATATATAAAGAAAATTTTGCGTGAAGATGAGATGGAAGATATGACATTTATCCCTTTGACCTTCAAGGAAAAGTCATACTTCAAGGAAAAGCCATAACAATTGAACTAAACAGTACGCCAAGTTAATGGGTTAACTTTCAAGTGGAGATTGGCCAGATGAAATTGTTTGAAGAAAAAGAAGTATAGCATATCATAACCACCGTGGCAAAGAAACTCACGGTTGATAAACCTGAACTATAATATAAAAATAATTGTGAACCAACTCAAATCCTATTCATGCAAGTAAAAACCAAGCAAAGACTTTTAACAAATTCATACCACGAGGCATCGCCATTTTGAACCAGGCCATCTTAGAGGATCCATCTCATTAATCCCAGTTATCAGTCCTGTGTATCTGCCAAAAAAGTTGACCCAGTAAAGATATGAACAGACTACTGGAGTCTAAGTGCCAAAAGCCAAGGGATGCCCAACCTTCGCTCAGCAGCATCTTCTGTCTCAAAACGCATTTTGAACCTCATTCCAACAGAGAAAGAGTGATCAATGCTCTTTAGGAATTTGCGAACAGGTATTACAAACTCTGACAAGCTTCCCCTAAATGATGCACTTGGATATAAGGGTACAAGTTAGTGGCTAAAAATTCTATAGATTACAGTTTAAGCACAAGACAAAGAAACAGAAGCTAATAGTTATATGTCCATAACCAGAAAAGATGCTAGCCAAAAAGAACCTCTGGCAAGTGAACAAATTCAAAGGGTATAGGACAGAGAAATCATGAAGTTTGATAAAGTATGTCACAGTATATATCATTTACATGGCTGAACATCAATGACTTGCATATGAAGAGATACATTATGAAGAGGTGTGAATGATCCCTGAATCCAATTAAAAAATCATCAGAAATGATCTTATCTAAATGGCTCATGATGAGATTGTTTAGGGACATGGAGTGTGTTCCAGTCAAGAAAAAAAATTAGGTAATGCTACTAAAATATTGAAAAGGAACCACCACCAAGGGAAAATTATGCAGAATGGCTTAAAATACTTTGGCTGCTGCTAGTCTGAGATAAGAGTAATTTTACAATGAAGTCTAGGAGAACCTTGCAAAGGCAACAACATAAAACCATCTCGTTGTTCACCCTTTTAACCTTTCTCTTTCAGGAGAAATAGATTGTGACAGCTATGCAGAACGTATGATTGAAAACTGAAAGGAAAAGGATTTAAGTGTACAAGAAGAATCTCAAAAATTTTGTCAACAGCACCATCAATCTCTTTAATGTTTAATTTTATGATATTTCAAGTTCGAGACAAATTGTACTAGACTTTCTTGTGCTTAGCACATCCTTGAAAGGTTCAATACACTATACTCAACAAGCAAACACTGAACTGAAGCATATAGAAGTAACAAGAGCAATGCAGAAATGGTAAGGACTAATCCAAATAAGACAATACTTTTGCTCACCACTTCAAACCAAGTGGACCAGTTAATAAGCATTCTGCTAAAGTTTTTGGTATTTATAGCATGGATTATTTTCAAAAAGATAATTACTTTAAAAAAGTAAATAAAAGCAACTAAATAACACCATACCTTGGATTGTAGTAAATACTGAAAGCACTTCGCATAGATACAGCATGAACTACATCTGCATAATTGCTGTGATTCAGTTGCTGGCCACAGAGAGCAGAAAAAGTAGAACCAACTTTAACTTGAGCTGCTCTTCGGATTCCAAGTCTCAATTCTCCATCTTCACCCCTGTCATAAGTATCATATAAGATTGTGGAGAAGAATAGCCAACAGTTTCTTAACGAAAGCTTCTTATACCGAAGAAAGAGCACAGCATCTCCAGAAACAAGCTTCTTTTTATTGACAAAAGCAGTCCATCCAGTCGTAAGCAAATGCCTTCGAGGCTGGCCTACTCAAACCGAAAGGGAGGAACAAAGGAACTAATCAAATAGGCGGCTAAGATCATATAGTTTCCATTAACAAGCTCCTCTACTTTATGAAATGAAATATCTAATAAGATAGCATACCCCTATAGATGTGTCGGAATCTCCATTCCACTCCATGAAGATCCTTTGCTACAAGCTCTTGTGAAGGTCTTTGCTGATCGTAATCCTACAAAAACATCTGCTTAAACACCATAAACTACACAAAGTACTACAGCATTTTGTAAAGCAAACCCATGTGACAAAAATGTACAAAATTCCAAATGCATCTGCTGTAAACATATTTTGGGAGAAAATGCACCATAATTACCAGAGGAGGGAAGCAATCCTCGGCAGCCCGGCGGGGGACAGAGAAGCCTCCATGGGTGCTAGTATCTGAGGCAGTAAGGGTCTTGCAGAACATGTGAGGTGTGATAGACTTTCTAGCTGCTTCTATATCCTCCTCACCATCGGCAGCCTCAATAGACCCATCATGTAACTTTTGCTCAATTTGCTACACATAACAAGAAAGAGGAAAAATCAATCTTCATGTCAAGAAGCTCAAGTCACACTCATGACAAGAAAAATAACCAAAAAGAAACTCTCTGGTATGCCCAGATAAAAAAAACTACTAAAAATAACAAGCTTAAGCCTCAAATGCGGTGTTATAAATGGAGATTTTGATCTTTCAAGCCCCGAAATGATGAAAATATGTAGTCCAAAAGTTCCAAATCTTCCACATTTTTCCAGCAAAAAGACAACAGACTAGAACAAACAAACCTCAGTTTCGGGAACAAGCGAGACCTGCGCATAGACCTCATCGGTTGCTGCCTCTGCCTGATAGACAAAAATAAGTACTTCACTGTAAATTCACAAGAATAATGTACGAAGAGCATCGGATTTGATTCGTAGTTATCCAAAATGGCAAAAGAAAAATGCAGTCTTATTCTCGCTAAGTGCAGCAGTAGAAAAGGAAGAAGATAACAAAACGTCAAATTTCCGGAAATCCTCCATTTTCTCCGAACCAAACAGAAATCAGATGCAGAAACAATTAAATAATTTTATTCATGAAAAGAGAACCTCTAGGACTATAGCATTCTTATTCAGGAAATAACTCCAATTTAACTGGAAACCCAAATTTAGAAAATCTCAAATTGCCCTCAATAATATCCAAAACCAAACGAATCCCATTACTAAGAAACCTTAAAAACGAACCAAGTTCACAAATCCCAAAAGCTCATGTCCCCAAAAAGGAAAAAGAAAAAAAAAGCACCAATACCCATTTGGCCAATATAATTAAAAAAAACACAGATTACAGAAGAAGAGGTTTATATATACACAGTTAGAACTTGCATACTTACATGGAGCTTGACATCAACAACACGACAGAAAATATGGGGAGGAAGATCATAAGCTGCGGCGGGGAAATTGGGAACATGTTCTAAGTGTCCCTGAGGAAAGTACACCACAATACTCCCTCTCTTAGGCAGAGATATCAGTGGCCCTGCACATGCGTGCCAGAGCTCCAGACACACAGCAGAAGCAGCAGCGGTTACAGCAGAAGCGCTGAGAACAGAAGCAGAGGAGGAAGATGGTGAGAGCGAAGCGGAGGACGGCGTTTCATCTTCCTCGGTAGTGTTGAGATCGATCAAGCCCCCCATTAGTGGATTAACCCAGAGAGAGAAATCAGGGTAGAAGAAAACAACGGAGACGGAGAAAATGAAGAAGCAGTGTAGAATGTGAAAATAAGTGATTATGAGAGTGAGTAGAAAGAGGAGGAGGAGAAGATGAATTTGTGAATTTGCTCATGAGTGCATTGTTGTTTTAGAGTGCAACTTTAGCATTTGCTAAAAGAAGATATGAGTCAAGGGTCTCAAAAAGTGACTGAGACCCCTCTTTCTCTCTTTGCTTCCTAGCTTTAATTATTCAGAAGGAAAAAAAAAAAAAAAAAAAAGTTTTAAGAAAAATTAAAAATTGGGAGATGGGTTTTTGGATATCAAATCAATCTTTAATGGGTTTAAATTAAAATTGAAAAATTGAAAAAGCTTTTAACAACAGTATATAATAATAATATATAATAGTGGTGTTTATGGAAAGGTGGTGTTTGATGTGCTTTTTCTGTGACTGCAAGCTGAGCAGTTCTGCTGCAATGCTGCTGCCTGCTTCTGCTGCTGTTGCTGTTGCTGCTGAGACTGCTGGGTGTGATGTGTGGCAGACACACAGAGAAAGAGAGATGAGTGAGAGGAGTAAACAACTTTTACTTTTATGAGGAAGACGATTGTTAATTAATTTCTTAAATAAATACTTTTATGATATCCAACTCATATATAATAATTATATACATATCTATTTATTTATTCAAATATTTAAAAGTAAAAAGAAGAAGAAAGAGTTCACGTACGGTTCCCTGTATTCCCGGGGGGGATGTCTATTCTGTCCCCTTCTACCTCCTCCTCCTCCATTACTAATTAATATTTAATCATTCTTTATTATTAATATTTCAGTTGCTCTTAATCATTCTTCATCATCATAAAAACACTATTTTTCTCCCCCCCCCACCCCCAAAACATATTCATTTTATATTTCTCTAAAATCCCAAAATGACTTTCAAAATATATATACACATATATAATTGGGTTTGGTTTATATTCTCTATTTGGTGCAAGATAATGTAAGTGTAGATTATGGTAACCAAAACATTTCAAGAAAACTACATGCCTATTCTGGTGTATACTAATTTTACCAACTGTGTATACCTATTCTGGTGTTTCTCCCATATATATATATATATATATTATATATTATATTCTTTAAGCTTGTTAATTTACAACAATACTTAACTTTTAATGCTTTCCTGCCTAAAGTTTTGACTTTTGCCATTTTGTCTTGTTGTAGACCATGCTTGCTTTCTTAGGCAAAATGTAATTACAAATTGCTAACCATTATGCCTCGCCAATAATATAAGTCGTCACTATTTTCTTACTAACTACCTAATCTATTGCCATTTTTAATTACTATATTCTTTTGGGTTGCTACATATATTGTTATTTTCCCTCTAATTTAGTTTTTTTTTATTTTTTATTTTTATATTAATCTCAATATATAAAATTTATTAGGACACGCGTTTGTATATTAAATCTAAAAATCGAAATTCGAATTTATTCTATATCTAAAGTAAAGTTATGATTTATGTGAAATTTATTTTAAATTTATGATTAGAAGATAATGAGAGTATAATTTAAATTGATAAAGATCATTTGATATAAAATATGAAATTAAGTTAATGCATTTCAAGTTTTATAAAATTTGAAATATATTATTTAATTATACAAATTCTATACAAACTAAAATTTTTATATATATATTTAAAATTTTCATTATTATCTTCCAATCACAATCAAATTTATAGATTAATTCGGCATAAAATTTAGATTTTTTTTAAAAAAAATAATGATGTGGGATTATAAATGGTTGGAAAATATATATAAATATATATATATGGAGATTTCTTTTTAAAAAAAATAGAGCTTTTTTTTCTCTGTAAAAAATTGTTAATATTTTTTTTTAAATTGAAAAAAAAAATGTGAAGGAATATTTCGTAATTTTGTGTACAAATGAGCAATTGGTTTGTAGTCAGTCACAGAATTAATGAAGCAGACCAAAAATATCGAAAGCTTAGTACTTAGGAATTATATTTTCCATCTGCACGTGTACATTTAAATATATATATATATAATTCCACCAATATATATATTATATAATTCCAAGTGAACTTATAGCCGTATACATATATATGTATATATATATATATACGCCCAATTCTAATAAAACATCATTGGGATTTTCTAATAATATCCAATTCTCAATTAAACCGTAATCCTTATTTGAATGGATCAAATTAGTTGCTAATCGTCCAATTTTAATAATTATAATAATTAATTTCAATAAAAACTAACGAAAGAATATTAAAAATACTTGTAAAATAGTAACAAAATATAAGAAAAATATATTACTATTAGTAAAATAGTGAATAATGTAAATAATATTGTGACGTATCAGTTATTACATGTGTCATATTAATAAAGTGCTAGTTAGATTTACCATTAGATAAAATAATTTTTAAATATAAATATAAACATATGAGATAATTCAAATTTTTTATATATGAACAAATATACAAATTATTCAATTGAACAGTAGTTAGTTGACTATGTAAATATTGATATAAATGAGATTATTATATTTATTTAATATAAAAAATTATAGGATAAGATTATAGTCTAATCCATTTGACGTTTAAACAAAGTATTAAAGAAAAAAACAAAACTCTACTATCTTCTTTTTTTTTATTTATTACATCGTTGATTCTTCTTTTATAGTTTTTTTTGTTATATATTTTTTTTCCTTATCCAGAATGTGAGATATGATAAAAGAGCTGGTTCTCATAGCGTTATAATTAGTTCCTACTATTCTTATTTTTTTTCTTTTATTTACTTGTTTTAATATTTTTTATATTTTTATCATTTACTCTATTGTCAAATGATTACTGATCTATTTATTTCATATTCTAATGGTTCTTACCACACATTTATATACATAATAGAGATTATGATGATTAAGTTGATAAAAAAATAAATCATAAGATAATTTGAATTATATGTATTTTACATTTGATTCGTTATGGTAATATAAATTATTTGTTATGGGATATTAGGGCTATATAATATTATTTGATAGTCTCACATATATGAAAATGAAATAAATATAAAGTTCCATTCTCTTATGCCTTATAAAACTTGAGATAATGCATAGATTCATAACTCATAAGCTTATGAAAGTCGAAATTTAACACCTAAAACATATGTGTGAGAAGTAATACCTTATATTTGTAGTTTAAAAATTAGTTCATTATTACCATTAAACAAATGTAATGATATAGTAAGCAAATATCCAAACAGTTGCCCTTTCATCTCATATATCTTTCCATGTTTGCTTATAAAGTTAAACTTCATTATCACTTTTGGTTTTTGTTAAAATATACAAGGAAATAATGCTATAATACTTTTAAAACATATGCATAGATACACTTTTTTTAATAAAATTATAAAGAATAAAACTCAAGGTATTTAAGTGTTTGCGTAAAAATAATAAAACAATTAAAAGATAATAAAAATTGAAAATAGTTTACCCTAATATAGAAATTGTATAACTTATGACTTTATTCACTTTATTCTTTTAAAATATTAATGTTATATATAATTAATGGAGATTTATAAACTGATATAATAATTAATGATATATTAAAATAAATGAATGGATCATAAAAAAACTAATTGAAGTAGTACAACCTATCAAAGCCGCTATATTATGGTTACTTTATATCATCAAATGATGTAATCTCATATCGGCTCATAAATAGTTACTCATATGCTCCTCGATCCATTGAATTTTCATAAATATCTCATGTTTTTTTTGTCCTCTTTATTTCTCTGTAGCGCCCGGGAAATTGAAAAAAAAAAACAAAAAAACACGCGCGCGCACTCAGCAGCCACGTCAGCAGACCCAGTCAGCAGTCCTGGCCAACCAAGACCTGCCACGTGGCAAAACCACGTCGACCGGGGACGGGCCACGTTGCCGATCCGCGTGCGCGCGATCGGACGGCCCAGATCAATCACGCGCACAGACGACCCAGATTTAATCGCACGGACGGCCCATATTTAATCAAAAACGGACGGCCCAGATTCAATCAAAATGGACGGCTAAGATCAAAAGGCAAAAGAGTATAAATAGAACTCCCACACCAGACCACAAAACCCTAGCCGCCTGCCCTCGCTGGAGAAGACGAACCAGAGCCGGCCGCCGCCACCCGCCGCCGCACCGGGGAGATTTTCGACCGCCGATCGAGGTAAATTTCATACCCCCGACTCGTTTTTCCACGCTGATTTCTCCAGTGGCCAAATCAGAGCCAAAATCCCGGCCAAACGGCCGAAAAACATGGCCGAAAGCCAGCAGCGCCGCCGCGCCCCTCCTCGGTTTTTGCCTCCGATGAGGCCCTTCCGGGCCTCCGTTTAATGCAATTTTTATATCACCGTGATCACCATTCTTTTCTCTACAGGTTGATCGGAGCCGAATCACCAAAACACGAACTTCACCGGAGAGCCGCCGCACCCGAGAGCACCGCCGCCGGTAAGCTTCAGTTTTCCGTAAATTTTCGGCCCCCCGAGGGCCGTAGGGTTGTTTTATCGCAGGAACCAATGCGAGTGTGGCCGAATTCAGCCGGAAACGGCCGAAAACGGCCAACCCAAGGCGAACCGCAGCTGCAAGCGGCGGCGCCGTCGCCGGAGCACGGCGGAGCCGCCGTGCCGGAGTTGCGATATTAGCTGAAAGGGGCCCTGGGCCTAATTTGGGATTTTTTTGGAACACGTGCAGGTACCAGTAGTGCGTTTCAGTTCCCCGGAAAAAATTCAGGAAAAATTAGGGACAGCCTGCAGGCGCACTGTGAAGCCGTGTTCGAACCCCGAAACGAGTAAGGACCCCTCACCCTATTTCTTATCACGGTTTTAAAGTTCAATAAATGATAAAACGGTATTTCATGAATCAACGAATGTGTGAAATTGCTTAAGGTCGCTAATGGAGCCCGAGTCTAGTGTGTTTGTCGGTTAACTGTTATTTGGCCTGTTTTATAGTTTTAAATGCAGTATGAGGTTTGATGTTTTCATTTTATAGTTTCGTGTGCATATTGTACTGTTTTATTGATTATGGATTGAATGACTGGGATATTGATGCTGTATATTGTCTGTTTGGCATAAATTATTGTTTTGCTTGTTTGTATGTGGATTGATGATGCTGACTGAGGGAAAAGAGAATGATAGATTATGTAAATGGGTAATTGTATAATGTGGTCAGCCTGACTAGATATCCTGAGAGATGGTGGACGGACTGGGTCCGTAAGGAACCCTACCGAGATTGTGGTCTCCCATACCGGACGGTGTATGAAGATCTTATGTGTTTTGGCACCCATACCGGACGGGGTATGGGGACGGCCCGTTTCACCCTCATACCGGACGGGGTAATGAGGTCTATAGTTTTGGCGCCCATACCGGACGGGGTATGGGGACGGCCCTGGAAAAATGATTTCAAGTGTTAAGGGTTAACGGGTAGCGGGACCCCTATGGATCCCCATGGATACTAGTGGGCTGGTAAATGAGGAAAATATGTTGTGTAACGATTGAATTACGAAAAG